ACATTGTTTCTATTAAACTAGAAAGGTTCAGCATTTCTGTCATTTACTTCTGCTATGATACCCAAGAACTTATGTTGGAATGAAGTGAAAAGTAAAATGGTCATTCTTATGAACCTACAAAATGTTTGTGGCTTTTCTTTGTCTATATTAGAGAACACTGGCCCTGTCCTTGGAACCAAGATTATCCCAGGGATGTTCCCGATATTGGCACTTTCTCTGCCAGGCTAGAAGACGTTCAGTCTTTCATGGAGGGCAGCCCTGTGTGGTAAGCAAAATGATGAGACCCAAAGTCAGAAGCTCTGCTTCCCTAACCCAGGGCTGCTGGTAAGTTGAGAGTCACCTTAGGCAGGTTGCACGATGTGTGTGGATCTCATTTCCTCCTGTATCATCTGGTGTTTGAATTGGTCTGTCTCTAAAGTGACATCCATCCAGTCCAAACATTCTGCTTTGATTTTCCCCAAACCCTACAAAGCACTCCTTCTGCCTGCCTGTTCCTCACTCCCATCAGCACAGCCTTCTAAACCCTCTGTGATTCTTCTCAGTTCCTGACTGCTGGTGGAGAGAGATAGCTACTTATTTATTTTGCCAAGAAATAACAATTATTAGTTTTGCTTAAGGCATTTCTCCCTGCAACATTGCGATGTTAATTGAAGACAAAAAAGTGATAACTAATTTTTGAAAGATTGTGAAGTCATATAATCTTTGCACTCCCACCATCTTGATGAGAATTATTGCTTAATGCATGAATTGATTTAATAAATGTACTCTGGCTTCCTTCCAATGTCAGATAACCTGCCAGGTCCTAAGACAATGTTGGGGGCATAACGAAAATGCTACACGTTTGTGGAAATGTTTCTCCACCCAATTGAATGTGAATCTCCATCCAAGGAAATAATCAGGAAAGCTTTTATACAGGTGCTTTGCCTCTAAGCTCGAAGACATAAAACTAGCTCTCTCAGGCTCAAATGTGATAAGAATCTATACTCTTTTTCTTTTTCCTTTACCTGAAGTTAGAGGAGAAGGAGAAATGGGCATAACACTTCAATCCTCTGAGAATTCCAAATGACTGAAAAGTCTGGTTATGTCAGGGCATACATTAAAGTGCTGTACCTCCGAGTAAAACTCAGAAAAAAACCTTCTCTCCTCCATCCTCTAGAGAGGCTACCTGAACTCCAACAAGTTAAGGGGTGAAAAATACTAAAACTGGACAGGTGAGACTGGGGAACATTTTGGAAGTTAGCTGAGTCTGTCCAGTAGGCTGTAGAACTATTTCTAAAATGGATGGGGGCCTCTGGAGGACAGGTTGAGTGTACCCTGGGGCTTGAAATCTGATTTGTAATGACAGAGACTCAATGTATCGTAGATTTTCATTTCCAGGCTAAAATGATTTGAAAGATTTGATTGTGAGCGAGAACAAACCATGTTAATAAAATTCTACCATAAATGTGACTGATTTTTTCATGAAGAGTCAAACAGTGATTACTGTTGACTCACCTGGCCAGGGATTACCCACTTACGAAAGCCAAGGTAAGGATATGGGTCTTTGTTTTGAGAGCTGGGGAAAGCCTAGCATTGTGTCCCAGCCCTTCTAGTTTCTCTGCCCCAACCACTTAGGCCTCCTCTCTGCCCTTCAGATGCCATGGTCTGTCCACAAACATAGACTTTCTCTCTGCAACTCAGACACGTGGGAACCTCCGGCTGCAAGAGCTTTGTCTCTGCTCATTTTATGCCATGGCCCTCCTGCCATGTGGGCCTTTTCTCTGACACCATGGTCCTTGCACCACATGGCCTTTGCACACGCTGTTAGTGAGATAGAGCTGGAAGTTCATGGAGGCCAAGGTGAATAGAATTTGCAGCATAGAGTACTGGAGACAGAGTTGCACAGAAACAGAGGAGACCCTTTGCTTATTCTATTGATCAGTATATGCATGTGAGAAAACTACCCAAGGCTGGAGAAAGAACCACACAAAGGGATTAGAGGGAACAATACTTTAAGCTCTAATGGGCCAGGCCTCTCAGTGGGAGGCCAGAAACAGTGCCTGTTCCCAAACAGCCAGAGTAGAAAACATCATAATTCACCAGGCATCAGGTAGAACACTGAGAAAAGTATTGCCTCAGTAGTGGGGAAGAATATTAACCCTGGATTAGACTATGTTAGTACTGCCTAACAAAGCTCAAAGCAAGATGAGGACACATTAAACTGTTTCCAAGTAAATTAACCACATCCTGGAACAAAATTTAAGAATATTAACAGGAATATAAAAATATCCAAGAAAAAATTCACAATGTTCACAATGTCTAGAATCCAATGTAAAATTACCAAGCTTGCAAAGAGGGAGGAACATGTGACCCATAATGAGGAGAATACTCAGTTAATAGAAACTGACTCGATATTGACACAGATAATATCATTAGTAGACAAGGACATTGAAACAGTTACACTATATTCCTTGTATTTAATAAGTCACAGGAAAAATTGAATATGTTAAATAGAAGCATGGAAGATAGTTTTAAAATCCTAACTCATAAATCTAAAGATGAAAACTATAATGTGTGAGATAAAATACTGGAGAGGATTAATGAAACTAGACATTGCAGAAGAAAAGATGAGTAAACATGAAGATACAGCAATAAAAACTACCCCAAATAAAACACAGATTTTAAAGACTGGGGAAAAAGTGAACAAATAGAGGATCGGTGATCCATGGCTTCTTACATATAGTTGCAATGTTTTTTTTTTTTTTGAGACGGAGTCTGGCTCTGTCACCCAGGCTGGAGTGCAGTTGCCGGATCTCAGCTCACTGCAAGCTCCGCCTCCCGGGTTTACGCCATTCTCCTGCCTACTAAAAAATACAAAAAACTAGCCGGGCATGGTGGCGGCGCCTGTAGTCCCAGCTACTCGGGAGGCTGAGGCAGTTGCAATGTTTTTAACAGACAATCGACTTCCTACTTTATCTGTTATACTGTGCTTGCCTCCAAGAGTTCTTCTGTCAGCCATCAGAGGGCGCTCTGCTCCCAAAGTAGGAGGCACTTGGGAAGGCTGAGTTCTGGTAACCAGGCACCACAATAATTGAAAAAAATTCTGGCCTACAGCAAAAAAAAAAAAAAAAAAAAAAAAAAAAAAAAAGGGGTCCAGGGCAGTAAAATTCTGACACAGAAAAAAAAAAGAAAAGCAAGAGGCATGTTTGTGGAATCTCCAGCAGGAGCTTTTCAAATACCAGAACTGATAAAAATTCTGGCTTACAGAAAAAAAAAAAAAAAAGAAAAACAAAGACATGCGCATTTGTGGAATCTCCAACAGGGCTTTTCAAATAAGGAAAGTAGCATTTAGAATCTGTGAGGTTCTCTGATGGGGGAACTCCTCCGGCATGGACCTCCTGGGGTTATTGTGTGGTGGGGACCTCCAGAAAACAGGGCTGGGGAGTTGCTCAGTGAAGGCGACAAGGCCACCTGCACATTTCCCAAATGTCAGCCACCCGCGTCCCTCTCTCTTCATTCTTGCCACACCCCCATTCCACTGGTAATATTTCCTAAATGATTTCCCTGACCTTGAGTCGCTTTTCTTATTTAAATAAGCCTACTCCAAAAAGGACGCTTTATATCACTACCATCAATAAGGAACCATTTTCGTAACACCTCTCAAACACAAACACCTTTCTAGAACATAAGCTTTATGCTTATAATCATACAGGCAGAGATTTTTGACAGTTTTGTTATCTTTTCTATGCCCTGTGTCTAGAAAAATGACTGACATAGTAAGCACTCATAAATATTTATCGATTATATCAGTATGAAAATATTAATCTACTTACTACCTAGAATAATCTTGAATATCATAACTGAGAAACACTGGACAGCAGAAAAGACTAGAATACTTTGTGGATTTTGGGATTTGAGGTCAGTGGGGGTGGCTGCTGTTCACCCTCTTGTTGTCCCCGGTATTTTTTTGCCATCAACTCAAGATGTGACACACACACACACACAACCTGAGGCCCTTTCAGTGTGTTAGTTTCAGCCTGGACTGTCTTTAGGTTCCAGAACGGGCAAAAGTTTTCACCTGCCACTTCACACCCATTAAGATAGCTATTACAAAACAGACAATGCAGAAGATAACAAGTGCTGAGGATGTGGAGAAATTGGAACGCTTGAGCACTGTTGGTTAAGAATGTAATATGGTGCAGTTGTTATAGAAAACAGTACAGTGGTTCCACAAGGAGTTAAACATAGTATAGAATAACCATTGAGTCTAGCAATTTTATTACTAGGTTCCTACCAAAAGGATTGAAAGCAGGGACTCAAACAGATACTTGTATGCCAAAGTTCATAGCAGCATTAGTCACAATAGCCAAAAGGTATTGTATCTCCCAACATTCTCTTCCCAGAGGGACTGGAAGGAAGGGAGAAGGGTCATCATAGGCCTCCCAGCTCTTCAGCAGGCTGAAGACACGGAAGCAGCTGGAACAGATGGCCTGTTAATTCCCTTCAAGGCAAAGGGTCCATGCCTCCTGGAGGAGGCAGGAGGAAAGAACAGGTCTGGAGCCCGGGAATTCCGAAATGTCCCTCAGCCAGGGCTCCCTCCCTTCCCTTGGGTACCCTCAGATGAAGAAGCCAAGAGAGATTGACTTCCTAAGAGAGACTAAGCCATAAGGTGTAGACAGAAGCTCCAAGATGGAAAAAAGAGGGAGATATTTCTTTGGTGGCTGAGGACATTGTCTTTCCTTCAGCATGATGGCAGGGAGAATACATCCTTTACGTGGTGTTGTGCTGGGATGCTTAGGGATCCAGCTGTACACAGGCACTGAGCCGAGCTGAGCCAGTCCAGAGGCAGCACCCCTCCTCCACAAGCTCCAGAAGGGACCCAAATCCCCTCTGGAATCTGCATCTTCTAAGTAAGCCTGTTTGTCCCCTTAAGAGAAACTGTAAGCTCTTTATTCTTCCGCTTGGTTACACTTGTGTTTTAAAATAGTTTATAATATTTGAGTGAAGAAAAACAGATTCCATCATCTTGTTTCCTTCTGCTTTTATTAGAGATAGACAGTATTTCAGCTACACTGTGAACAAAGTGGGCTTTGATGAGCTTCCCTGAATCAGCCACCAATGACAACATCGTTTCTCTTGAAAAATGCATTGTGAATTCTACGCAACGGTCATAAACATGGCCTATTAGAACCTTACCCATTACCAGTGGCGCCTTCCCATGTTTCCAAAGCTATATATTTCTAGTAGCGATCTGCATTTCAATAAGACCTAAATAACCCCGAACTTTCCTATGGCATCTTTTACTAATATGAAGCATAATTTATTTAACTTGAAAACAAAAGGGAAAAAAGGTTGACAACATTTTCCTAGGCATTTCTTTCCCATGGTTCAATATAATCCAATCCCAGATGCGCAAAAATTTCTTCTTCACTTTCTGCTTTGAGGAATATCCTCTGAAAACATAACAAGAAATATGTGCATTCAGATATTTTTCATAAGCACCATGGTGTGGACACAGTGAAAGTGTTACTTATAAAACTGCCTTGTCAGAATGAATTTAGCCCAAACAGGAGCCCTGCTTCTGAGTATAAAACGTCATTTTAAATGACTTTCCAAAATACGGTACTAAATGAATTAAGGTAAAATCATAACAGCTTTAACATATTCAGCAAAAGCCATTTGTATATTTTTTCCTATGGGCTGTAGCTCTGAACCACAGCTGTTTATTAGAACAACCTGATGGAGTTTAAAAGATAAACATTGAAGCTTGAGCCATACCCCAGTCCAACGAAATCAGAAGCTCAGGAGAGGTCTTGTAATCGATCTATTTGAACGCACTGGGTAATTCTAACATGTAGTCATAATTATGTACTGCTGGTAATTATAGGATATTTGTATGTGTTGGGTTTTCCTCTAGCTTTCCATGCTTGCCTCTAACCCCAGCAGGATCCCACCCTGTTATCTCTTTAAGACCAAGCAGCTCTTCTCCTCCGTCCCTTCTTGTACATAGCACAGTGCTAGGCACATAGAAGGTACTTGCTTACATTGAACTATTTAGAATGTATTCATTGGTAAGTGTTCCTTCATTGTACTATGTGAATCTGCCTTCACCCACATGCTTAGCATCCGAGGCTTTCCTGCCAGCATCCACAGCCCCCTCTTCTCTGAGCAGCACCTGGATTTTTCTATGGGAAACCGCTCCTCTTGACTCTCAGTCCAGGAGGGTTAGGTGGAGCTGCTCCCAATTCCAAGAAGAAGCACATGACCCAAGTCTGGCCAATCAGAGCCACAGTAATGGGTTCAGGGATCAGCGCATGACCCAGTCCTGGCCAATGAGCATCAGGTAGGATTCTTGGGGGAACTATTAGGAAACAGCCTCTTCTCTGTTGAAGTAACTGGAAGAGTGGGACTTATGGGAAAACCTGCCTGCGAATAAAGGCAATACTGAGGGAAGCCTGCCTGAGCACCCATATTCAGCTGCCCCTGAACCCTTAGATATTGTGGAGTATAACCCAAGTTCCCTTTTTCGTTTATGTCACTTTAGATTTGATTTCTGACACTTGTAACTGAGACAACTCTAACTGAGTACACCTCATTTAGACTACAAGCTCCTAGAGGGAAAGGACCATTACTTTTTTTTTTTTTTCTGACACAGAGTCTCACTCTGTTGCCCAGGCTGGAGTGCAGTGGTGTGATCTCGGCTCACTGCAGCCTCCGCCTCCCGCGTTCAAATGATTCTCCTGCCTCAGCCTCCCAAGTAGCTGGGATTACTGGTGCGAGCCGCCACACTTGATTATTTTTTGTATTTTTAGTAGAGATGAGGTTTCACCATGTTGGCTGATCTTGAACTCCTGACCTCAAGTGATCCACCCTCCTCGGCCTCCCAAAGTGCTGGGATTACAGACGTGAGCCACTGTGCCTGGCCAGTACCATTACTTCTAGTTATTTTGAGTTTTCTTTCCCCTGGAGCCTATTTTGGCATCCTTGATCACTGTAAGAAGTGTAGCCCTTAGTACTGTGTATTTAACAGTTGGATATTTAACTCTTCGTAACTTCTCCAGTCATCTATCGTTTTGCTGAGGGCTGAATTGGATCATGACCACAGTAAGACTAGCACGCCAAATGAGTGACATGGCTGGTGAGTGAGACTGGCTGGCTGCTCATTTACGTCTCAGGGCAGTTCCGTTGCTCTCTTTCTTGCAGCAGACTATTGTTAATGGCCTACATGGCCACTCAGAATGCCACTGCCCCCTGCATTTGAGGGGTACACAAGTAGTATTTGTGATTTCTGGGGATCCCTGGTTTACTTTGGAGTTACTCATTGCCAACACTAAGGACATACCAAACCCGTTAATATGCACTGCTGGACTGGTTCTGGAAGCCCAATTAGCTCATCATCTTTCAGCCAAAAGCTCTCGAAGTGCATTCTGGGCCAGGTGGAAACTGTGAGTCTGTGGAAATCTTTCCTGCTGCCCTCAACTCTGATCAACTGGAAATAGAACATGCATAACAAAGGAAACCATACTTGGATACTAAAATCAGTTCCTGAAAAGAGCTCGGGGGCCAGCCTTGGGGATGAGGATTAAAGTAGCCCATTTTAGGAAGAGAACTGTACCTTGGTCTTGTCATATAAAGCATGGTTATCCAGAATCATCTTCCGTTCATGTGTGGCATAGCGCCGGAGGTCTCTCTCAAACTGCTGGACAGAAGATAGTTAAAATAAATTATTAACACGTCTAGAATGTCTTCAGTATTAGGTGGCTACATCCCTCCAGTGAAATATCTAACTCCACTAAACATTCTCAAAGTGATTTTCCTTCCCCAGGGCCAAGTTCTCTGGTGACAGAGGTCTGTGCTCCCACGAGCACACTAGAACATAAGCTCTGTGAGAGCAGGAACCTGGTTTGTTCTATCCATAACCATATTCCCTCAAATAGTGCCTCACATGTAGAAGATGTATAGCAAATGTTTTATTGAATGAATAAATGAATAGCGTGAGCATTGTACCAGAACAATGCCTGGTCCAGAGTGAATGCTGGATAAATACTAGTTTGGTGGGTTTTAAATGATTTGGAATATTGTTATTGTAAGAGAGGATGGAGGAGTCAGGGAACCCATTCCAGCTTGGATTTTGTCCCTTCCTGGCTGTACATCTCCTAACAAGTCATCCAGACTCCCTGAATCTTGGTTGAGTGAGTGAAAGGATGGAGGAAGGACATGATTAAGGCTCCCTCTGGCTTTAACATCCTTTCACACGGAGATGCCATGAAACTGATGTTCTAAGTCACCTGCTCTTGGATGACATCTCCCACATCAGGAATGGGCTCTGAGACTGAAGAGAGCAACACATGAAGCCTAAGACAGAGGACAGGAACACCTTGGCAAAAGAGGGCAACGAATTGCCATGGAGACTAGTTTTCCTGAAAGAAACACAATCTAGAAATTTTGTCCTCTTCATGTGGGATTAGGGAGCAAGCCTGGGATACTGGTGCCCTCTAGTGGTAAGGAACAATTTGCTATTTTAGGAAAGCTAACCTGGGATGGGTGAGGAGATGGACTTTGCAATTAGAAGTCCTTTATTCACCCAGCTAACAAGCAAAAGAGCTTAGTGCTCTGCCAGTGCCTTGCAGAAAGAACAGCAACAATTTCTGAGAACTCTGAGGAAAGAGACTAGAATGTGCTGAAAACATGTCCATATTAAAAATAAAATGGGCAAAGGTCAACCACTTCAGTCAGTGATGCTTAACTGGCATGACATTGCATAACCAAGGACTTCTTTCTGGAACTTTCCCCTTTCTCAATCAACTACGTGTTCCCAAAGATTTATGTCTATCAGACAAATTGCATTTATGGTATATTTTTTCTTTTCTTCCCCCTTTTTTAAGAATGAAAGGAGCATTTAGTTGTCAGTCAACATTTGTGATTAGAGTAAGAAATCCCACTGCTAAGATGCTGTGCTGAGTTAATAACAGTCCAAAGCAAAGACACCTGACATTTAACCCAAGACTGAGAACAATTAATTTCTGTTGTGTCATTCATCTGTATAAAACCCTCTATGAACTCATTTCACTCAAAACAACAGCCAGCTACCTGGGAAAACAGGAGAAACAGTGTGAGGTATTTAGTTGGGAGGGTGGAACACATGCAAGTGGGACCCAGATCACAGGTGTCCTCTCCTGTGAGTGAGAGGAGATGGGAACTACTGCTTATCCAGTACTGGCCACGTGCTGGCTTAGTGCTGAGGCTTTGAGAACATCATGTCACCTAATGTCTCTGCAACCCAAGGAAGTAGCTAAGGTCATCGTCCTCATTTTCCTGATGGGAAAATTGAGTTTTACAGGATATAGGGAACTTGTTCAAGATCGCCCAACAGTAAGAAGCAGAGCAGGAGCTTGCAACCAGGTCTGGGATCAACTGGTATTCTTTCAAAAAAATCTTATAGCTTGATTTTATTTTTAATTAACATATAATAATTGTATACATTTGTGGGTTATAATATGATATTTTGATACATGTATATACATTGCAGAATGATAAAATCAGACTAATTAGCATGACCATCACCTCAAACATCTACTATTTCTTTGTGGTAAGAACATTAAAAATCCTCTCTTTTAGCTACTTTGAAATATGCATTTTTATTAACTATAGTCACCATACTGTGCAATAGAACAGAGCTTCTTCCACCTACTGACTGTGTACTTCTTGACCCTTTTCCCTCTCCATTTTCTGCCCTCAACCCCCAGCCTCTGCTAACCACCATTCTACATTCTCTACTTCTACGCATTTGACTGTTTTAGATTCTACATATACAGAAAGGAGATCATACAGTATTTGTCTCTCTGTGCCTGACTTATTCCACTTAACATAATGTCCTCTAGGTTCAACCATCTTGTCTCAAATGACAGAATGTCCTGTTTTCGAAAGGCTGTGTCATACTCCACTGTGCGTATACCATATTTTAAAAATCCATTCATCTGTTGTGGATGCTTAGGTTGTTTTCATATAATATCTTGGCTATTGTGTATCATGCTGCAGTGAACAAAGTAGTGCAGACCTCTCTTTGACACACTGAGTTCGTTTCCTTTGGATATATACCCAGAAGTAAGATTGCTGGATCCTATGGTAGCCCTATTTTTAGTTTTTTGAGGAACTTCCATACTATTTTCCAAAATGTGTAATTTACAACACCACCACCAATATAAGAGGGTTCCCTTTTCTCCCCAGCCTCACCAACACTTGCTGTCTTTCATGTTTTTGGTAATAGCCAATCTGACAGATGTGAGATAACATCTTATTGTGGTTTTAATTTGCATTTCTCTGATGATTAGAGATGTTAAGCAAGATGGCAATATCTGCTTGCCATTTATATGTCTTCTTTCGAGAAATATCTGTTCAAGTCCTTTGCCCATTTTACACAGGGTTATTTGTTTTCTTGTTATTGAGTCTTTTGGTTTCCTTGTATATTCTGGATAACGGCCCCTTATCTGATGTATGATGTGCAGATATTTTTTCCCAATCTGTGAGTTGCCTCTTCACTTTATTAATTGCTTCCTATTTCAACCCCCTTGCTGGTTTCTGTACTTCAGTGGTTCTCCCACTTGAGCTGCATCAGAAACACCTGGAGGCCTTTTCCAAACACAAATTTCCGGGCTGAACTCTCCAGAGATGCTGACTGGATTCCATAGGTTTGGGGTGAAGAATTTCCATGTCTAACCTGTTCCTGGGGAAGGCTGCTGCTGCTGGTGTTGGGGACCACACACTGGGAATAACTGTTTTAAATTAATCTGTCATATTTGACCATGTGTGGACAGGATGCCTTGATTTAGAGGTTTCTGGGTACTGCCCCCTCCCCTGTCACCCGGCCCCTGTTGCCATCATCTCTCCCCTGGGCCCAGGTAGACTCGACCTACGTCTTTCGGAAAGCTGACATCATATCATGGGTCCATGTAGCGCTTACCCGTGAGCCAGTCCATCCCAACAGGGCGAAGGCACGACGCTCGTAGGGGCACATGACTAAATCCACACGGATGGCCTTCCAGGTCTTTCCCTCCTGCCAGCTGGACTGGCCACTGTCCACTCTTTGAAGAGGCAATTTGAAAATCAAAAAGCACTTTTGAAAATGATCCAAAGCATCAACTTTCCTGCTAGGCAACCTGAGCTTTTCAAATGTTGACTCCACAAGGTCATAATATAAAAGTAATCCCTGAAAAGAAACAGAATGGCGTCAGGAAAAGGCCCTGACGAAGAGGAGCCATGATTTTATACTGGATTCTTAACGAAATCTTTACAGATCTGAGCAGAACATGAACATGTGTTTAATCTTTCATTAAAGGTCTACCCGCAAACACTAGGAGAAAACACTAAGAAAGTGGTTGCATTATCTTCCCTTTACAGAAAAGGAATTTAGCGATGAGAGAGGCTGAGGCAAAGCCACTTAATGGCAAAACTGCAAGAAAGTCTCCATCTCCACTTCTGAACCTCAGCTAGTGCTCTGGGCTCTTCTTAGTCCTTTAAAAACAAACCAACCATAAGCAAAAAGCCATGCTGCAGGAATTTGAGACCAGCCTGGGTGACATAATGAGACCTCATCTCTACATGAAATTTAAAAATTAGCCAGGTATGATGGCATGTGTCTGTAGTCCCAGCTACTCAGGAGGCTGAGGTGGAAGGATCCCTGGAGCCTGGAAGGTTGAGGCTTCAGTGAGCTATAATCACACCACTGCACACTAGCCTGGGAGACAGAGCAAAATCCTATCTCAAAAATAAATAAATAATAAAATAAAAATTCATATTGTTTCTGGGGAGGGCAGCTTTGAGTTAGTGTCTGCTATAGTTTGGATGTTTGTCCCTCTAAACCTTATGTAGACATTTGATCCCTAGTATTGGAGGTGGGGCCTAATGGGAGGTCTTTGGGTCATAGGGGAAGATCGCTCATGAATGACTCATCCTCATGGTAATGAGTGAGTTCTCACTTTGTCAGCACGCATGAAAGCTGGGGGTTACAAAGAACCTGGCCCCTCCCCACTCTCTCTTGCTTTCTCACTCACCCTGTGACCCCTGCATCTGCCAGTTCCTCCTTGCCTTCTGCCACGAGTGTAAGCCCCATGAGGCCTCACCAGAAGCAGATGCTTGGTGTCATGCTTCTTACACAGCCTGCAGAACCATAGGCCAAGTAAACGTCTTTTCTTTATAAATTACCCAGCCTCAGGTATTCCTTTATAGCAATGTAAATGGACAAAGACAGTGTCCCTTTATATTATATCAATGACTAGGTTTAACCCGCCCAAAGCGTTGTGGCTGGAGGCTGAGTCTAACTTTGGGGCAGGATGACTTGCTATTTCTAGGTAGCACTTCGGAGGCTCTTTCTCATGAGAGTGTTACTCCACCTGTCTTGGAGAAAGTGGGATAAAGTTAATGACACGTTTCATCTAAAGTTGCCTATCCAGAAAGTGGACAAGTGATTCTAAGATGTGACCAATCTAGTTGCCATTCTTGGTGGGAGCTCCTGATGGCACAGGGCAGATGTGGGAACAGTAGAGAGAAACATGCTGTCAACCGCTAAATCTGGCAACAAAAACAGCAAGTAACCCTCAAATAATGTCATCAGGTTACTGGGATGTGTGATTTGTTACCATGTACTCCTTAGGTTGGATGTTTAAAAGCTCTATCATCAGAAGCATTTGGAAGGTTTGCTAAAGCGCAGTTTGCAGAGCTCTGTCCCCAGAGTGCTGCAGGAGGGCGAGGGAGGCATTTCGGACAGGTTCCCAGGCAATGCTGGTGTTCCCGGGCCAGGACTACACTTTGAGCATCATTGGTAAATTGATTATTGTTAGGAGTCAAGCTTTGTCTTTCTTCTACAAACCTACACAAGACATTATTTCAGTTCAAAAAGATACTTTTTATTTTGTTGACCTCGATAGAGGGAACTCTTCACCCTTCAACGCCTTGAAGAACAAACACCATTTGAAGGGGGAAGCACTAATGCTAGGGAGGCCCTCTGGAGGAGGTGGGAGATGTTGCCCTAGTTAACCTCTAATCACCAGCTCAGGAAAACACATTTTTACTTTTTTAAGGAAACTTGCTAAAATTAGTACAGAATAGCAGCCTTTTGTGTAAATTTCAATCATGTAAATTTGAAAAAGGAGATATAAAAAATATGAAGAAGTCTCACATGAAAGCCAAATTTGTAATAACATACCTTCCCTTTAAAAAAAAAAAAAAGCCCACAAAGCTGGATTCCTCACAGTAAACTGTGCTTGTCCTGTTGCCACATAGTGGAGTCACTTGGTGGGTGAGAGAAAAATGGGCCATTCTTTATTGGGCTTTTGTCTTGAATTTTGCAAGGTGTTTGAGTATGCATCCTTGAATGTAATGCTCCTGTCTGCGTGTTCAGAAGGTTGTCTGCAGCAGGCCACAGCCGTCAAACATGCACAAAACCCCTGATGCCACCTCTAGAACTCCAGCCCCAGCTATCTATGGGGCAGCCCTCTGGGCTCTGGCTTCCCCATCAATACCCACTGGTTGACTGAATATTTACATCAGCATGTTCTTTTATTTTTCCTACCAGACACTGAGAAACTCCTGACTAGGAGGAGGCATTTCCCTGCCTCTCCGTCCCTCCCGTCCTCCCCAGGGAACAGAGCGGCCAGTTCTCAGGAAGAGAGCTGTAGGGCAGGATGGAGATGCACTCAGCTTGACCTCCCACAGGAAGGCTCCATCCGAATTTAGTCTCAGATGCCTTCCAAGGAGGGTCACAAGGCTGAGTGTGAGGCTCTCTAGCCAGGATCCCTTCCCTGCCCTTTGCTTCCAATTCCCTCCAACTCCTTCTGGGAAGACTCAATGCCCAGTATTCAAACTCATGTCAGTTTCTCAAAGTGAATATATTCTTTACCCTCCAATGTCTGCCAATACATTCCACCTCCCAGCAGTTCCATGAACTGGAGATGTGGCCACATGGAACAGTTACGGTCTCGTACCCAAGGTCTCACCCACTGGGCAGGAACCAAAACCAAAGTCATTTAACCTCCCCTCTTTGGGTTGAAACACTGGTGCCATTGAGAACTCAGGCTAACGGAGTCTTTGGGGATGGCAGCCCTCCCCCCAAGATCAATATTTCCAAGATTGTTGCTTCCCTGTCTCCCACCCCTGACCAAGGGGTTTCCTACAAAGATCACATTTAGAGTCATCTGATGGGCGACTCGACCGGATACCACTGGTTATTCACTATGCTCCACAGGTGTTTTGAAATGTCGGATGCGTATGTTGTGCATGTTGTGAGAGAACGTGCATGTGTGTACCTGCACAGACTTTATAACCTGGAAAGCGCAGCTTTCGGTTGGCATGGCAGGGCATGGGATGAGGCAGAGGGGGAAATTAAATATGAAGAAGTCATCTGCCGATTTCACAACCGAGGTGTTGTGGGCAGACCAGGAGCTGCAGGGGTCTAATCAGGGCTGAGACACTAAATTGCAAACTGCTCCACAGCTTCTCCCTGCTGTCAATGTTTGTCAGTGAGTGAAGGGGAAGAGTAAATCCCTACCCACTCCTGAGTCCCCTCGCCTGGCCCAGTGCCAGGCTTTCAGGCAGAGTTCAACAAATAATTGTGCATAAGAGATAATGATAACAGTCAGCACCATTTGTTAGGCTTTTACTATTCATCAGATACAGCACCAAGCGCTTTATCTAATTCTTTCATTTAATCTGCTCCTTTAATGAATGAGAGAAGCTTGTTACCCCTGTTTTATAGATGGGGAAAGTGAAACTTGGAAAGATTAAGTAACCCATCCCAAGTCATATAGCTAGTGAACGGCGGGGCTGTGCTTTTAAAATCCCAAATCTAAAACCCACGTGCTTACATTAACATCAGCCTCTGCTGCAGCACCTGCATATAAAATGCCCATCCCTGCTTGGGGACCAGCAGTAAGTGTGACTTCCTTGAAACTAAGGAAAGACCAATGGAAAGAGGACTCTCTGCTGCTATCTCCCTACTCCATTCCAGTCTTTAATAGTGTCGGCATGGGGAGGGGAGGGTGCCTGTAGGACAAGGTCAGAGAGGTCCATTTTTGCAGGGCCTCCAGGTACAGAGCCAGACAGCCCACTCTCCACCAGGCCTCAGTTAGCAGGGTCCACAAGCCATGCTCCCTTGTCTATCAATGAGAATCTTTCGTTGATAAGAAAGTTTATCAACAAAATCTCGAGCAGACCAGTGGGCCACTTCGCTGACTCTTCCTTGTGCTGCCATCCCCTGGCTTTGTCTATTATGTTCTCTCTTAGGGCCACTGACTGCCCTGTGTTCATTCCCCTGAGAGGGACAGAGGGGGTTGGGAACGGCTTCAGAGATGAATTTGGATCTAGTTCTAAAGTTGAGTCTTCACTTCCAGTGCCCCTGGCCCTAGGGTTGTGTTTCTAGCTTTTATTTTCACTTTATCTGAGGTCTTCCTTTTCTGGGATATCAGTAAGCTTGGTCCACACCCAACAGAAGCAAACTACTCAGGAAAGATGAAGCTGTGAGGAGAAACACCAGCCCATCCAGGCCTATCTACAGGTCCCAAGGGTAGGACCCTCTGGTCTCTCTAAGAAGTGAGGCTCTCACTAGAGTCAGACAGGAGTCAGGGCCTGCCTATGGCTCTGGCTGCAGGGTTAGCTTAGCTTACTTTGGTTTCCTCCACCAGGCAATAGGCCTGTCACCAAGTCTGATCTCTGCAATATATGGGGGCTTCTGAGCCATGACCTCTGCAGGGCTCAGCTTGCCCTCATTAGTTTCCTTCATTCCATCTCAGTACAAAGTCAAGATGGTAATTGACCAGCATAGAATTCAAGGCACTATCAACACCTCTTAGACTGATTTTATCCCAGTCTTTGCAGTCCTGCCCCCTCACCCAAGCTTGCAGCTTTCTGGCTCACATTTCCCAGGTCTTTAGAGTGCATGTTTTTCACTTTGTTTGGGTGCTTTAATGCCTCTGTATGTCAAACACAAATGCATAGCCACCCTTGGCCCTGTTGGCAATAGGGTAAGTACAAATAAACAAGATATAGGACATATTTATAACATGTACTCTAGGACCCAAACAGGAAAGTCTTATTGTAGGTCATATGACTTTGTATAAGCTGCTGCAAACAATTGAGAATTGATTAGATGGTCATTACACAATTATAAGGCAAGTAATGTGCAAAATTCAAGTGTTAACATAATGTATGAGTGTGCATGTATTTTTCATCTTTCTTCTCACCTTCTTTTCCCATAAGTTCATCACCTTCTGTAAAAGTTGTTGCTCTTCATCCTCTGTTGATCCTGGGCTGGTAATTAAAAAATCTACATCATGCCCCATCTTCTTACCCCTAATTTTCAAAAGCAGTATAAAATGGAAATCAATTAGATTTTAGTCTTCATTTAAAAAAAAAATCACCTTTGTTTCTATGTCCTATGCTTAAGATTTGCAACATAGAAGGTTCTTGACATTTTTTTTAAGAAACAAAATATCCTTGGTTACACATCTCTATTCCTTACAAAATAAATTTATGAAACAGAAAAAGTCATATGTAGCATGTATGTGATTATGTATATCTGGGCAAAAAAATAACAAAAAATTATTTATTGTACACACTCACACAAACCTACATGCACCCACACATACACACATAGAGACAAGCATGACAACAAGCAAACCAATAATTGTATTCACATACTACAAGGTAGAACTCTTGGAATTATGACATGGAGTAAAGCCATTATCTTAGATTTGATCTTCTCTTACTTTCTCCCTTGCCCAAACCTATTTTGTTAGAATGGCCAGCAGCCACCAGGTAAGAGGGCTGGAGAAAGAGGTGGAGGAGGCTGTGGGAGGAAAGAAATCCCTTTCTGAAATGTAAGCCTCAATATCCAACAACCACATACATACCTGTGAAGTGTTTGCTCATTCATGAATTCATTCAGTCAGTCATTTATTGACTCAACCAAGATTTCTTGAGCACCTACTTTGTGCTAGGCATCATACAATAGTCTTGCTGAGAACTAAGCTCTACAAACTTAGTGGAGAAACCACACACAGGAACAAATTACTGTAACTCTGTGGATCAAGGGCTTTGCAGCTATTCAGGGAGCATGGAAGAGGGGGCTCTAATCCAGCATGGAGAAAGAGGGAGTCAAGGAAGGCTTTCTGGAAGAGGTGCCATCTAAATTGAGTCTTAAAAAATGAGGGGAAGTCAGCCAAGTGACAATTTGAGGAGCGGCCGTCAAAGCAGAAGAGTCTGAGTAAGCAAAGCAACAAGGCAAGAAACAGCTCTGAATGTTCAGGGGATGACAAGCCATTTGGGGTTGCTGAAATGAAATGTGAGAGGCACGAGACAAAGCTGCAGAAAGAAGCTGGCACCAGATAACAAAAGGCCTTTTGTGCCATTTCAGATGCCTGTCCGAGTCAGGGAGCCACTGAAGTATTAGGGCACAGGAGGCAAAGCCACCCAAGTTATTTACCTCCGGAACCCTCCTGTCATGGTGACGAAAGCATCCGGAAGAAATGCCCGGACAGCCTCTTTAACCAGCACACTGACGGCCTCTGCTTCTGCCCTGGTCACACAGCTGACAAGGTCTTCATAATACAGAAATCCTGAGAGGCCATTTGACAGGTCAATGAAGAGAGTGACGCGCGTGTGAAACAACCAGCCCTCAGTGGAAGGGGATTCTGTCCCCATAATAGAGCTAACATGACTACAGGCATCAACACCAAACTCCATTTCCACAGAGACAGAACAATCCATGTGATTCTCCTGGTTGTGAATTTTGCAGGGTAACAATGGTTCTTTGCTTTCTAACCGAGAGACTTACAATTTCCTAAGAAGGAGACAATATTTCACATCCCTCTGGAATCCAAACTGTTCAGACCTGACTTCCTACTGAAGAACCAGCCTTCTTGATCAATAAGCTGTGTCCTACTATTTTTTAAAAGGTAACGCATAAAGATTTGGGATGAGGAGATTTAGAGTTGGAAGGTGATGGATCCATTAAAAAATTAAAGTCAAGAATAGGAGCAGGGTAGATGTCTGTCTGAAGCAAGGCAGGAAATATCTTAGGTGGTTTACCTTTTTGCTTCTTTGCCTGACCAGCATGAATTAATGAAAGTTCAGAGTTGCTATGATGAAAAGCTGACAACTTGGTGGTTCCCACAGAGCGGTGTGGAGGGAGATTTGGAGGGGAAGAGCAAAGGAGAAGGGAGGCTTATCTCCAAGGATTGGGATGAAGTATTGGTGAGATGAGCCTGGTGATTAGATCCATAGAGCCTGAGGGACATCAAATCATGCTTCCGTATCACTGCTCTCCTATCTAGGGTCTCCAAGAGGGGATCATTCAAACTCTGCTTGACTCTAATAATGGGGAACTCTGATACCTCCAGAGGAGCCTGTTTCCTAATAGTAAACTCTGTTGTGCCAGTTCTTTCTTTTGAAAAGCCTAAGTCTACTTCTTTGCAATTTCACCTACCACTGGCCCTCTGAAATGGCAAGAGTAAATCTATTGGTCCTTGTTTCTCACTGTGGGATTATGGAAGGGAGGCAGCAGCATGGCCATTTGGCTTGCACACCCTGCCAAACTTCCCATGTTATCTCTAATGGGGACAGTCACAGAAATATGCTGGCAAGACCAAGAGAAGATGGCATTCATATGAACACACCTATAAACTGTGTCCAATACCAAACCACTTGTGGAACACTACTTTCTTTATAGCAATACTGATACTTCTTTTTTATTTTTTAAAAAAGCCACATTTCTAAAAATTATTGCAACATGGCCATTTTTATGAGCATGAGGAGTTTGATCTAAGAAGTAATGCTCTATTTGGTTCTAATACAGAAACCATCATCATGACTAAGATTCAAAGCACAACTCACTGGGTAACCACAAACACCTGTGCTTATGCAGTTGTATACATGATCCAAAAGTCATGATTCACAACTATTTCTTTAAGAAGATGTGCAGGTATCAGGAATGAACATGTAAGACTATGATGATTTGTTGACATCCATGAAAGTAATTTAATTGGCTTTTCTTTTTGGTATGGCAGGGTGACTACAGGAAACTTATCACACAGTACAAGGTTAAATATGTGCTGCTATAGTTCATAAATTGACTTTTCAAGGCAAATGTGGCATGTGCATGCTCAAGCCTCAGGGAACTGCAATCAAGTGCAAATATAAGTAAAACTTAATCAGGTTATCCATCTGACCCATGAATTGTCCTTTCAATGTGTTCAATTAGCTTACCCTTCACAGTATTCTAAGCTATTCCCATTGACAATTCCATTCAGTGTAGTGCTGCTCCAAGGGGTGCCTATAACCACTTGTGGGGGTATAAGTATAGTGGGAGGGCATTCCTTGATTTCTGCCTAGAACCGGTAGCATTAAACAGTTCGATGGAAATCACCGATTGACTAAATGAATAAAGCTGCTTCATTCAAAGGGTTGGAAAATCTCAATAGGAAGAGCAAAAATCCAGTTTACAAAGTTGGGGAATTGGAAGCCCTTAGTTCCTGAGAGCACTGGACGTCATTTGATAAGGGTTTCATCCAAGTGAAACACTATATTGCCTCCCAATTTCTCTCTAAGCATTGAGAGTCTTTACTCATCATTCCAAACCACTTACTTGCTACTTATATTTAATACTTATTTAAATTTATTTTGAATGGCATCTTGAGAACTGGTGTAAATCATGCTTATTAAATGTGTGCTTTCAGGGTCCTGGAATATAAATACTGGATCTTTTTTTCTTAGACTCTTTTATTTCCTATGTGGCATTGTATTATCAGCAATCTTTCAAAGATGAGCAACTTTACAAAAAAATGAGCAGGGGTCTTCTGTAGTATCACTGATAGGACCTACCATGATTTGATTTGCTTCCTATACCATTGCTTGTTTTTGTTTATTTGTTTGTTTTTGTCATTACTTAAACAGAAAATCTCTACCTTTTTCTCCTGGTCTTCTCTGGCAACAGATTTTCTTACTTTCACATCATTAAAAATCTGGGGCCAGGTGTGGTGGGTCACACCCGTAATCTGGGCACTTTGGGAGGCCAAGGCAGGTGGATGGCTTGAGCCCAGGAATTCAGGACCAGCCTGGGCAACATGGTGAAGCCCCATTTCTACAAAAAATTAGCTGGGTGTAGTGGTGCACACCTGTGGTCCTAGCTACTTGGGAGGCTGAGGTGGGAGGATCACTTGAGCCCAAGAGGCAGAGGTTGCAGTGAGCCTTGATAACACCACTGTACTTCAGCCTGGGCAAAAGAGTGAGAACCTGTCTCAAAAAAATAAAAATAAAAATAAATTATGACTTTATAACTCTAGGAGCCATGGTGCTGGGGACTGTGGTTGTGACCCCTTTTGAATCACAACTCTGTTGTATTTTTATTGCCTGTTAAAAGTAAACATTTTTTTTAAACACACAATTTTTTTGACACTGTATTGCCATCCCTTCATTTTTAAAAAACTCACTGGGAGCCTCATAAATGGAAGTGACCAGGCTACCTCCACCTCTGAGAGGCCCTGCCAGGCTTTCAGGTGGGTGATGACAGCACTCGTGTCCCACCATAGTCTTCTCTTAGGCTAAAGAGTCTTGGTTGGGTACATCAACCCTGTGCCTACATTTCCACCACTTCCCTTCTATTTTCCTGGTGTTTTACAGTTTCTAGAGCATCTTCACATTTGTGCCAGGCAACTGCTCTAGTTTGTTTAAGCAGCCAACCCTTCTGTCTTTGACTCTTCACCCACAACTCTTACCCAGGGAGACAGCCAGGACCCAATGTCCAGAAGAGTCGGTAAGGACCAGATCAGCAGCACAACCTGGCTTGACATTTGGATGAAGGACCACCAACTGCCACCGTGGAGGGTGCCTTTGCTCTGTGCCAGACAGACACAGTGCTGAGGCATTGCCTGCATTATCTGATTGACTTCCCAGCTAAGTATCAATGTTATTTCCTTTTTATAGATTAGGTAACTAAGGTTCAAAGATCTTAACTAACTGGCTCAAGATCACACAACTGGAAACTGCTGGAGCTAGGATTTAGATCCAAGCACTAACGGACATCAAAGAAGTGTCCCAGCTCTCCCAGATTAGAGTTGCAGTGTAACTGACTTAGAGCTCCACCACGACCCGACCAGCCCAGAGCAACAATGACTTTTAGGAGAGAATTTACCTGCTCTCTGCATTCGTGTAAATTTCAGGCTTTCGTCCGACCTTACTTTACTCAGAGTTCTGAAACCCATCCTGAACCACTTCTCAGAAGTCTTCAACCCCACTCCAAATACAGAAGTAAAGAGCTAAAATGGAGGGAAAGGCATGCTATCAGTCTCTAAAATAATCATTATGACATCTCAGTCATGATCCTTTCTAGGTCTCAGGCAACGAAGAAAAAGTATAAGCAATCTTTGACCTAGTTCCTCCTGAATATGACAAGCAGGTGGGTGATGGTCATTTTTTTTTTTTTTTTTTTTTTTTTTTGAGGCGGAGTGTAGCTCTGTCGCCCAGGCTGGAGTGCAGTGGCCGGATCTCAGCTCACTGCAAGCTCCGCCTCCCGGGTTCACGCCATTCTCCGGCCTCAGCCTCCCGAGTAGCTGGGACTACAGGCGCCCACCACCTCGCCCGGCTGGTTTTTTGTATTTTTTTTTTTTTTTTTAGTAGAGACGGGGTTTCACCGTGTGAACCAGGATGGTCTCGATCTCCTGACCTCGTGATCCGCCCGTCTCGGCCTCCCAAAGTGCTGGGATTACAGGCTTGAGCCACCGCGCCCGGCCGTGATGGTCATTTTTAAGGGCATTTTTGTTTCAGATGAGTCCTTTCTTGACATGTGGCATTACAAAATGAAACAGAAGTAACAAGCAGGTTCTGGCACTTGTGCAGGGCTTAGGTATAGTCTAATTGATGGCCTGCCTGTGCTGTCCATGAGTGATACGGTATCTCTACAGGGCTCTCCACTTTGCTGGGTCTCTTACCGACACTCATGCTCTGCATAGGTACCCTCACGTTTTGAAAAGAGATGCTCCTATAGGTTATATAGTTTCTCCACCATCACACACGTGAGAAGTGGCACAGCCCAAACTTAAACCCCAGTCTATTTATACTCCAAGCCTGTGCTCCTGCTCATGGCCATATTTGAGGCCTGTACATCACTTTTGCAATGAAGGGACTGGTAGAAGTCCCTTCCACCTGCAACTCTAAGGCAGGGAAAATTGGGAGGTAATAAACCCCGCTTCCAACTAAATGGAGAGGCAGTAAGGAGATTTTCAGACACAAATCTGCTCTTTAAGAGCAGTTCTGTCCTGTCCCCACCAACCCTCTGTGGTCCTCATGTCCCATGATGTTTGTACCCATGAGTGACAGACTCTTGGAGGGTAAGGCAATTTGTACATCACCATAGCATGGCAATTATCTGGGCACCTGAATTTATTTAGGCCTTTTCTTCCTAGACCAAAGCTATGGACTGAATTCCCCCTCCCAACCCAATTTGTAGGTTGAAGTCCTAATCCCCAGTATGATGGTATTTAAGACAGGGCCTTTGGGGTCATGAGAGTGGGGCTCTCATGATGGGATTAGTGTCTTTTTGTTTGTTTTGTTTTTGAGACAGTCTTACTCTGTCACCCAGCCTGGAGTACAGTGGCGCGATCTCAGCTCACTGCAACCTCTGCCTCCCAGACTCAAGCTTTTTTCATGTCTCAGTCTCCCAAGTAGCTGGAATTACAGGCATGCCCCACCACACCTGGCTAATTTTCATATTTTTTAGTAAAGAGGGGGTTTCACCATGTTGGCCAAGCTGGTCTTAAATTCCTGGCTTCAAGTGCACCCCCCTTGGCCTCCCAAAGTGCTTTGATTAAAGGCATGAGCTATGGTGCCCGGCCCAGGATTAGTATCTTTATGACACCAGAAAGATTGCTTGTTCTTGCTCTCTCTCTCTTGCCATGTGAGCAGGGGAGCATGTGAGGACACAGCAAGAAACCAGAAAGAGAACCCTCACCAGAAACTGACCCTGCTGACATCTTGATCCAGAACTTTCAGCCTCCAGAATGGTGAGAAAATAAATTTCTGTTGTTTAAGCCAACCCATCTCTGTATTTTGTTATCGCAGCCCAAGCTGACTAATACAACCAGCCAGAATAAGTAATAAGATTAACTGAGAAGCCATTTGCAATAAATATATGTAAAATCACTTACTTTGAAGGATTGATATCGTTCATCATTTAACACAGCTTTAACTTCAGAACTTTCTCCATCTTCAATAATCTCCTAGTGGACAGTTGAAAAATACTTTAAATTAGTGATGTTGGACAATTACTGTCTAAGACTCTCAAATTCATGGATCTAGTTGCTTGGTTTCTCATGAAATGTGCATGCATTGCATCCTGGGGTATTTCCTTAACTGATCTGGAGAAAACAAGACATTTCTCTATAATCTTGAAAATGCTAGCTTATCATATATCCAAGGACCCCTTTATGATCCTTAGGAACAAAGATACAAATGGTTAGGGTCCAGATCTACAGAATTCCAAACCAAAATCTTTGCTGAAAAATGTATGTCCAAATATTGGTGATAATTTTCTCTTCAATGAATATGACCACTGAAATAAGAAGACTTTTCCATTGAGAAGGTTAATTTTGGACCCACCAAAAAGCCAATCTACATTCAAGCCCTTGTGATATCTAGCTCAGAGCCCCCCTCCTCTGAGTAGAGTTGGGATAATTGTCCTTGAATAATATACCTTGCACTTGACTATATAGAAACTTACTACCAGATGACCGACTTGCTTTGCTGGGGAACCCCTAAACACCGTTCAATAAATAAGCACAACCTCCGGCACTCTCCCTGGAGAGATGTAGAACCAACTCCACTTGATGTCAAATGCACCGCTGCTCTAAGGTGGCGCCCCCAGGACTGAGGTCCTCCACACAGCCTCTGTTTGAAATCAGACCATTTCCCTGCTGTCAAGCTTGTAAGTCACTTGAGTCTTTCACTGTGATTAATAACAATATAGGAGAGTTCTGTTTCTGCTAGCTGGCTCCATGTAACTCCAGCTATGATAATATTAGGGTATGGATTATACATAACATGCGTCTATCTATATGTTATAGTAGGTAGCTAGTCGGGCATGAGCGGAGCAGGAGAGGGCTCCCCGCTCCAAACCAGGAATGTCAGGCGACCATCAGGTGATGGTCCAGCAGTTATCACACTATGGCTCTAAAATGATAATTGGTTGCAGCTGGTGCTAGAGAGCGGCAATTCCCTGATGGGCTGGCAGTTATCACACTATAAAATGATAATTGGTCACAGCTGGTGCCAGGGAGAAGCAATTTCCCAATAGATAAAAACACTTGAAATTGGTAATCAGCAGCTTCCAGTAAAATCTCAGGAATTGGGTGAGTGGGCATGAGCATGCACATTAAGAGACAAAATGGCAGAGTATGATTTTCTGGGGCATTCCACTGGAAAAGGGAAGAAATGCCTCAGGTGAGCATGCATACAACTCCAGTAGACACACTGTGCCTGCACCCCTCCCAAGCACAAGGAGGGCACTGTGCACGCGGGCGACTCACCCTAAGGGAATAATCATGGGAAAAGGGATGCAGGACCCTGGAAGTATGCCAGCATAAAAAACCCCAAGTCAAAAGGTCAAACGCTGCACTTGCCCTAAGTTGCCCACTTGGGTCTCTTCAAAGTGTACTTTCCTTTCTTTCCTGCTCTAAAGTTTTTTAATAAACTTCCACTCCTGCTCTGAAACTTGCCTCAGTCTCTTTTTCTGCCTTATGCCCCTCAGTCGAATTCTTTCTTCTGCAGAAGCAATAATTGGGGTTGCTGCAGACCTGAACGGATTCACTATCAGTAACTCTGACACCTGCCACCACTAACGTATTTTGGTGCCATGTGACTAGGATAGTCACAACCCCTAATATATACATGCATATATATATATATATAGTCTAAATAAACACACACACACACACACACACACACAGAAACAGGAGAGAGGAATGTGTATAAAGGAAAATTTGTGATGTACACCACATCTACATAGTTGACAGGAAAATCTGTTAGCTACATCTCTCTCTCCCCCATCCCCACCTACCAACTGGGAAGTGGGACAAATCCCATTTCACCCTTACCTCTATGATACACTTCACCTTGGACCCCAGGCAGGGAATTCCTTCTGTGTCCTTCATACTGATGATTGTGAATGGCAGAGATTTCAATACAGAAGCTGCTCTCATAAATGTCACACAGGAGTCTTCATTTTCTCTAAACTCACAGTTTTCAGCCAGTATATCAAAGGCATCCTAAAGGATAAAACCAGATAAGCAAGAGATCTGCTTCCAAGCCCCTGAGTCAGTGGTCACTCACAAAGGCCTCTTGCTCTCCTTTAAATATTGGAATACCACTTGAGTGTTTCCTTCTAGGTCAGGATGGGGTCTCCCATACCCTTGTATTCCTCTATTGTGTCATGGAGTAAAGTTGAATTGAAAAGACAGGTACCAGAGTGCATTATACAGAAACTTGGAGTACATTGCCTTTAAACATTCACAGATGATTAACTAAAGAGTGCTTTGGTGCTCACAGCATCTTGCTAGTCATGACTCAGCATAATCCCTCCTTCTGTACTATCTTCCCACTAGCCTGTGGCTAGAATTCTGCCTTGATCGCTGAGCATCCCCGTAAAACACAGCGCTTAACACAGGCTTGTTGAATGAATGAGTTTAGTCATAGGCACACTGACCCAGAGCCAGGATTATTTAAGGTAGGGCATGTTTGCATTTCTAGCAGGGGAGGAAGCAGCTGCAGCTGTGTGATCTCATGCTCAGCATATCCATTAACTACAATTTCCTGGTCTTTCCAACACAGACATAGAGCTGGAAGTCTAGAAATGAAAAGCTCTGTATTGATCTACTACTACATGTTTCATCCAGCTAACCACTGACTCTAGGCTAACAGACAAGCAGTTGTGAGCTTTTAGGGCCAGGGCCGTTCAAAACACCATGACCAATTTGAGGGCTGAGTGGAGCTTTAGATACGATCTATCCAATTTCTTTTTGAATAGATGAGGAAACAGGCTCAGAGAGAGAAATTGACTTGCCCAAACTAGTGACTATCAGAAAGGCTGGAATCTAGGTTTGCTCAATTTTTTGGTTTCCCAGCAAAGGCTGTTGATGCATTGTTACCATTTCTATGTAATTTACTCTTACTAGGTTTTGAACTAATTCCAATATTTGTTTTTTCAGAATATTTGCCTTTGACAAAGTGTTGTGCCCATTAATGACAACTCTCTGTAAATAGTAATCTGCTGTCTGTAAAGAAGATAACCTAAATGCATTTGTCCATTTCCGGAAGGAAGGAGACCCATTCTTGATAGAAAGAAGGATAGAAGGATCAGAGATCAGGCTAGGGCTGTGGGTAGGTGGGAGGAAAACTTTCCCAGGTTTTCAGAAAAATTTATAATTTAATTTGCGGCTCCGTGGAAAGAAGCTGCAAGCCCTTTGTTTGCCCTGGGTGTTGATGTAAAGTCCTGTTACCGTGAATATCTGGTTACAGTTGTTTAAAGTGGTTCTTCTCTGACACGCATACTGGGAGATCTTTTGTACAGCAGTTGGTAGAGTCTTCGGGGGGCCTGGATTGGTGTTATCTGAATAGTCTCTTCTCACCTAAACAAATGCATAAGCATCCATTTTCAATAAAAATTAATAGTAATAATAGATATATATGGAAAAATTTGGAAGTAGTTGTCTGTGGTTGGAGGATAAAATTATAGGAGACTCAAAATTTATGTTATATACATCTCTAATATTTGAACTTGCTATTATCAACATGTAGTTTTTTGAAATCTGAAAAAAAAAAACATGAAAAGACCTATCAATTAAATATAATCTTCCTTTTCTATGAACTTATGTACTTATGGTCCAACCCCTCTTCCCAAAGATTCTAGCACAATTGCTCAAATATTTGGAATTGAGAGCTTAATTTTTTGTTTTGTTTTCTTTTGTTTTCTGAATGATCACAGTAAGAGAAAAAAAAGAATCTCCTGCTTTTCTGGCTGCCAGAATATCAAGGCTTAAATATTTTGAAATATTTGTGTATAAATGCGTTCAGGAAAATAGCTACCACTCATAAGGTGCCTACTATACTTAACACACTGTGTTAAGTGCTTTACATGTATATTATTCTAATCTTCATGACCATTTTGTGAGGCTGGCATTATTGTTATGTAATGTTATAAAGGAAGAAACTGAAGCTTAGTAAAGCTAAGTGACTTGCCCAAGGTCACACAGGAAGTAAGCAGAGAATCTAGGGTTTACCCCAACTCTGTTGATTCTAAGCTTATGTTCTTAACCATCAAGCAAAGAACAGTGAAAATCACACCCATGACACTTACAACAAGCTGGTGTTTTCCTGTCATCTCCACCGGTTTCCCTGCTCCTATACATTCTATCAGCCAGGAGACATCAAGGAGTTCTGGTTGTGAGCTAACTTGTATTTTCTGTACTTGAAGCCACTCCAGAACATCTGAACCCGAGTTGTTCTCTGCTACAATGTGGGTGACAGAATCACTGCAAAATGCAAGACAGAGTTACCAGTTGAAGCATCTTTCAAAAATCAGAAGCTCTCCTCTTTCCTCAAGGTTTCTGAGCATTCCATCTGCTGGAGAAAGACACATGCTAGACCTAACCATAGGTATGGAGAATTTAGGCCTGCATGCAAGTGAATTCTCTCTACATTAATTAGTGTGGCAACAGTGGTCTGGATTACATGTCAGATGCATGAAAAATAAAGACAACATTAGCAGGACTGAGGTGTTGATGGAAAACCAAGGTCCAGAAAAGATGGAAGATGAAATTGCTCTTAAAATAGCACCTAGCATTCCACATGAGGTTTTGGCATGCTGCTCCATTTTTACTAGTGGAGGACTTTAATAATCCAATGGCTTTCAAACTTGTTTGACTGTGACCCACAGTTAGAAATATGTTTCATATCATGATCCGAAGTAAACATAGAAATAGGTACAGATGTAGCTATTCTTACATGGATTAAGCAACTGTCTTAATCCACTTAGGCTGCTTTAACAAAATACTTTAGACTGAGTAATTTACAAACAACAGAAACTTATTGCTCACAGTTCTGGAGGCTGGGAAGTCCACGATCAAGGGGTCGGCAGATCTGGTGTCCAGTGAAGGGCCATTCTTCATAGATGGCACCCGCTATGTGTCCTCACATAGCAGAAGGGGAAGGCAGCTCTCTCGGGCCTCGTTTTTAAGGACATTAATCTCATCCACTAGGTGGAGCCTTCATAACCTACTCACCTCCCAAAGGCCCCACCTTCTAATATCATCGCCTTTGGGATTAGGTTTCAATTTATGAATTTTGGGGTGACACAAATATTGAGACCATAGAAACACCCCATTATATGTTCTCACAGTTTATTATTAATAATAAATTAATTATTTATAACCAGCCTTCAAGAAATTTTGCTTTACATGTTTTCAAAGCCTGGACAGGGATCTTCTTCTTAGCAGGTACTTAGCACTTACCATGTTTAAGGCATTGGCCAAGTGCTTTACCTACAGCATCTCATTTAGCTCCACAATAAGCATTACATCATTCACACTTCAAAAATGAGGAAACTGAGGAACAGAGAGGTCAAGTGACATTCTAAAGGTCACACAGCTGGCAAATGATGCTCATCTTTTTTATTGTTTTTTCGGGGCCAGATACGTTATTTCTAGTTTTTAATAAGTCTTCATGGTCAGCCTTATATTATTGCACTCAGTGATTTTTAAGATCCTTTCAGTTCAAATAGTCTGTAAATCTGAGCAATAGCATGAGCACACAGCATACCCAGGCATCAAAGAGAAAACACAGCAATATTTTCTCTTTCTCCTCCTATTTTGTTTCCTTGATTTCCTCTTTCTCCATAATCTGATTCATGAGGTATTTTTTTATTTACTATTATATGCACAACCCTAGATTCCTTGTGATAGTGGTGGTAGTGATGGTAATAGGAGGAGGTTGGGTACCAAAGAAGACAAAGGAAGTTCCTGGACATTAGTATGTTATGTGAAACAGATGGCTTATGGTGTGAATTATGACAAGACATGAGGCATGAAGATCTGCCGTGTTCAGAGAAGGAAAAGAACATGGTGTGAGCTGGGAGAGGCAGCTGGTTGGTAGAAGAGCTGTTTTGTGTCTAGTCCTGAATGACACACCTAACAGGCAGAACTTAGGGTTCTCCTGGAAGAAAAGGGTCAGGGGCCAGCCAGAAGGACAGGGAGGAGAATGGCCTGGGTTGGAGTGGAGAGTTTATATTGGGAAGTAATTGTAGATGCAGCTGAATTGGTAGGGACAACTACGTTCTAGAGGGTCTTAGAAGCCTGTTGAGGTTTAATCTTATTTTCTGGGGTTGTGGAGTCAGTGAAGGCTTTTGTGAGCAGAACATTGATGGCACTACAGTGTTATTTTAAAAGATGAGTCTGGTACATAACAGTGATTTGGAGGAGAGCATAATGGGGTAGGGAGGGTTGGGGAGCTACTTAGGAAGATGAAATGATAGTGTAAGTGTGAGATGATTTTAACCCAGTCTGGCACAGGGAGGCAGAGGAGAAATATGGAGGATATCTGCATCAGCTTACCTATGAAAGATGAAGTCGGGGAGGGAGTCAAATAGTACTCCAGCATATTCATCACAGTAAGGTAATGGCACTTTTGGTAGAAATCGAGATTTAGGAAGTTGCGTCTCTTTGGGGGAAGGGGTGGAGCAGTGGAATTGAGATTTATTTCAGGCATGCTGCATTTGAAGGACAGCAGGAGATCCAAATTAAAATATCTGGTTGACAGTTGGGATCTGAGGTTGGTGCTGAGAGAGAGGTGGGGGCTGGGGTCAGAGCTGAGACCATCTGGATGGCAGGATGTGCAGCAGGCCCAAGCAGAAATAAGTCGTGGCAAAGCAATGCTCTACAAGAATTAAAGGAAGATAGATAACTGCTTCCCTATTCTAGATCCACATTGTTCCAAAATTTATGTATAATAAAATTCCTGAAGGATTCTTTGGATCAAGGATTAATAGGACTTGTTATTCCATCTATATTTCTGCCCTTTGGAGGAAAACATTGTTATTATATTCTTATACTTATGATATACTTTTATTTATTATAATATTATTACAATAAATAGAGTTTTGCCTAACCCTGAGAGGGAGAAGTGTATGCTAAAGAGGACCCCTCACCACCTACGCTCTTACCACTCCCCCTACTGCCTCTTCTTCTGGGATTCTCTGAGACAGTGTGGGAATGTCCGCGCTCACATTGTTGGGTGAGAATCATATGCATTTCTTAATTAATATAAGCAAATTTGCGGATGACAGGCTGTACATCATATGAAGGAAGACTCTGATTGAAACTCCCAATTCCTGTTCATTAAGAACTAGCAAACCAAACAAAACAGCAACAATAATCTTAAGCATACACAAAAACCAAAAAGTCGGGCCAGGTGTGGTGGCTCACGCCTGTAATCCCAGCACTTTGGGAGGCCAAGGCGGGCAGATCACGAGGTCAGGAGATCAAGACCATGCTGGCTAACACAGTGAAACCCTGTCTCTACTAAAAATATAAAAAATTAGCCAGGTATGCTGGAACACACCTGTAGTCCCAGGTACTTGGGAGGCTGAGGCAGAAGAATCACTTGAACCCGAGAGGCAGAGATTGCAGTGAGCTGAGATCATGCCACTGCACTCCAGCCTGGGTGACAGAGCGAAATTCCATCTTAGAAGAAAAAAAAAAATGGCAAGAGATAAATTTGGAGACATTAAAAATTTCTCCCAGCGAATAATTAGTTGGTGGAGCAGGGATTTGATCTTACAGCTGTTCTCATCAAAGTCTGTGTGTTTGGTCATCCATTACTTTGCGTTATTTGGAAAAGGAGGGAGCTGCTCACTTCCTCCTGTTGCAGAGGGACAACATCTGGATGGGTATCATAAGCATAAGAAAACTGATTTCCTCCCAAGGGGAATAGAAATACAGAAATACAGATGGAATAGCACCTTCTATATAACACCAGTAAATGTATTGCCTTGCTGCCGCCACATAGAATTTATGTTTTGCTATTTTATGTACAATATTATATGGACTGAACTAGACTACAGGACATGTAGCACTGCCCCAGAAAATCTGAAAGAACAGCTGCCATAGCCACACATCAAGACGGAGCAGCCACAGGGAAGCTGTCAGGCTCTCTGGGCTCTGGGTTTTCCCTAAACCTCCGAGGGAGTTCGATGTGCCAAGGGGGAGCCCTGGACTCATCGTCCAAATTCTGACCTCTCATCATCCACTCCTACCCCCCAGTCCATCGCCACCATCTCTTCACCTAGGAGTCCTTTGGACACAGCCCTGCCTCTGATGGGGACATTAGAATGCTGGGGGGCACAGAGGGGAGGGGGCTCAAGGCACTATTAAGTAACCAACAATAAATACTGGCATATAAAGGGAATCAGACTAGAAAGAAATACTCCCCTGACTATTAGCAAAGATAATGGTAACGACATACACACATGCAGATATTCCTACTTAATCCTCACAACAGCCTTGCACAGTAGGCAATATAGTCACAGAGGAGAAAACTAAGCCTGGGGGAGCTTACATGAAGCCGGGGTTCAAACCCAGGTGTGCGTGACTCAAGCAGCTTCTTAACGTTCTGCTAGACTGTGGTTAGATGCCTGAGGGGGGCTTTGTTTGCTTATTTGAAATGCTTTTCTGTATTTTCTCATTTTCTGTAATGAACTATCTATGGTCACTTTTCTACTTGGGGAAAAATATACATGAATGTCATTTTCAAGGACAAATAAATCTGTGATTGGGGCTGAAGTTGTTTCTACCTTGCCCATAGAGACCTTGGCTTCCTTCTTATAATAAAAGGTGACAGAAACCCTCAGGTAGCCAACCTCAACCTCCGAGATCCCAAGGTTCTGCTGAGACGGCTATTCCTGAAGTATCAGTGAATTCCATCTTCTCCTAATTTCTTGGCCACGACCAATTGTTAATGCATTGGACTGAGTTTGGGAGGTCTTGAACCAATTATAGCAGTTCTGAGGGAACTGGGATTGGTCCCTCAGCCTCCTACAGGGAAGAAGATTCAGGGTCTCCTCCTTCAACTTCAACAGTGCTTGACTGTCAGGTGCCCAGCTTGGTCCTTGGTGTCCCTGAGGGCAGAGACAGTGGCAGGGTCTCTGGGTTATCCCTGGAGCCCAGCACATGGCCAGATTTGTAGTAATGGTAAAAAGATGATGGTAGACTGGATAGATGAATGAATTAATTAATAGCTCTAAAGGAATGTCTCTCAAACTCTAGTGTCTACCAGAGACATCCAGGAAGCTAGGTTAAAATTCAGATTACTGGGTCCCATTACCAGACTTCAGAATCCCTGGGAAATTGCACCTGGGGCCCAGGAATATGCATTTTGACAAGCTCCGTTGGTGATTCTGATAGAGTCAGTCTGTTTTCGTTATCTACTGTTGCGTAACCAATGATCCCAAAATATAATGGCTTAAAAAGGCAACTATTTT